GGCAGGATGCCATGGTTGGGGGGCACAGGGAAGGGGTGGAGATGCTCCTTTAAAAGTGGCGACATTGAGCAGAACCTTGATGGAGGGCACAGGGGAAGAAATAGAAGGTGCACAGGCCCTGAGGGAGGAATGGACTTTGGCAGGTGGGAGGTACCAAGAGGAGGTCAGCTTGGCTGCGTCGTGGGTCTCTTGTAAGGGTGGAATGAGATGTGGACATTAGGCCATTGTAAATCAAGGGTCTCCAAAAGGCTCAGGGAGACTGGCTCACCAGATCTCCTAAGGCTGAGGGAAGCCCAGGATTTCACTCAGGGCTGGGAGATAGCCTCAGGAAGGAGTATTCAGGATGCATGTCAGGGTGGGAAGCCAGGGAGAGGAAAAGAGGGGGGCCAGGAGGAAGAGAGGATGGAGAAGCCACTGGAGAGGCCACTGCGCTGGGCCCGTGGGAGACTCAGCCTCCATTTCCTGGCACTGAGGTTTTTCCATGAACACTCCATTCCGTTCTGGTCCCATCACTTGCTCCCCAGCACTAGCAGCTCAGCAGGATGACGTCTTGGTATCTTCCAGTTTTCTCAATCCTGTTGTGAAGCTGGAGGATGGGGGCAAGTCCCTGGATACTGTGGCAAGGGCAGGTCGGAAGGAGGCAGGAAGAGCAGCTTCTGTGCTCTTCCAGGGTATCAGGACCACGTGCCAGGCTTTCCACCTGGAGGTAGGCCCCCAGGGGCCAGTGGCAGCCCATCTCTGGCTCCAGAACTCAGAGTTCACTTCCTGGCTCTTCTGGCATTGGTTCCCTTCTACAGGGTCACCAGCCGTGGCCTCGACTGAGGGTTGGGAAAGCAGCGATGACAGGTTTGGGTATAGCTCTGTCTATAGCTCGTTGAGTGATGACCTTGGGCCAGTCACTCCTCTTTCTGGGGCTGCAGTCTCCTTCTTGGACTAGACCAGTGGTTACCTAAATGTCAGCATATCTCACAGAATACCAGTGTTACACAAAACCAAACTGTGGCTAAGTAATTTGGGGAAACCCTAAATTAATGGGGTCCGCTTGCCGCAGGATTATACAGAGCCTTTTCTGCACAACCTAAATCTCCTGGAGGGGACTGCAACATGCAGTGTTTGCCAAGCTGACCTGACCAGGGCACCTCATTGTATAGAACTTCTCACCATTGGCATTCTGAAAGGCATGCCTCTGGATACGCTAGACAAGATGGTCTCCAGGGCCACCCCTAGCTTTGTTTTGAGATTTAGAAAACGGAACTACCCGTTGGCTGTCGTGGCAGGCAACATTTCAGATGACTTCCAGTGATCCTTGCCTCCTGGTATTCATGCCTGCATAATCCCCACTGTATGCTGGACTTTCTGATTGCTTCTAACAGATAGAACACTGCAAAAGTGATAGGATGTCACCTCTGATCTAGGCTGTGGCTTCCATCCTCAGCGTGCTCACATGCTCTCTCTCATTCTCACTCTTACGTGGCCACTGAATGCAATTATGGGAGAAAAATGACAGAACGAGGGAGGTGTTCAAGTAGGAGGGACAAAAGTGGGTGGGGTGGTGAGTCCTGGGTGGAGTTGGCTGCCCAGGGCATGCAGGGCAGGGATAGTAGGGCAACAGGCTGAGGACTCCTGGGAGGGGCCCCATTGGGAGCCAAGGGGCCAGACCAGAGCAGAGATCTGAGCCCAGATGCCACACCAGAGCCAACTACCCAGGGGTGAGAGGGTACACATGCCACCCCAGCTTGCTAGTCTAGTGTCCAGACTAGTGTCATGTTAGGAGGACACCCAGGCAGGCTGTGGCCAGCAGCCCTGTAAGTGAACTTGGACACAGATGCTCCAGCCCCAGTTGAGCCTTGAGGTGACTGCAGCCCTGGCCAAGAGCTTGATGGCAACCTCATGAGAGACCCTGGGCCCAAGGCACCATCTCAGCTGCACCCACATTCCTAACTCACACAAACTGCCAGCTAATAAATGGAATGTTTGTTGTTTTAAACTGCTAAGTTTTGAGGTAATTTGTTATGCAGCGATAACTAGTAAAATTGTGCAGTGTCTTCTACAACCCATGTGTGTGTGATTCTATTGGTATAACCGCTAGATTACATGTGTAATGGTGGAACCTACTCGTCCTGTGACATCCCCTGTGCGTCTCCCCCTGGCACTGAGTGTCTAGTGTCCTCTGGTGGCCCCCAGGGGTTCTGGATGTAAGAAGGAGGCGGCCTCATGAGGTGGTGTACAGACAGGAGGTGGGCTCACAGGGCATCTGGGCATGGGGGTGCTGTACCCTTCCAAAAAGCAGTCTGGACAATAGACTAGCAAGGTGGGGTGGCGTGTGTGCCCTCTCACCCCTGGTTAGTTGGCTCTGGTGTGGCATCTGGGCTCAGATCTCTGCTCTGGCCTGGCTCCTTGGCTCCGAGTGGGGCCCCTCCCAAGAGTCCTCAGCCTGTCCCCCAACTATCTACACCCTGCATGCTCTGGGCAGCCAACTCCACCCCAGACTCACCACCCTACCCACTTTTGTCCCTCCTACTTTAACATCGCCCTCATTCTGTCATTTTTCTCCCATAACTGCATTCAGTGGCCACTCAGAGGCCCCATTCTCTCCCATGCCTGTCTCAACCCCTGATATGCCCATTCAGGATGGGGCCCCTTCCCCTAGGGTGGGTAGAAGGCTCACTGAGGGGCAGAGAGGGGTGAACTCACTGCCAGTGTTCACAGGCTGTTGGCTACACGTTTAGAACACCTGGTATGCTGCCTGGCACACTCTAGTGGGGCACCCCAGCTAGTCACTCAGCTGGTCAACTTCCTGACTGAAGGCATGTCTACAGGGCTGCTCTCCAGTTTGGAGTAAGGAATCCAAGACCTCGGTCAGAACTCCTACTAATGTATCTCCACACCGTGGGGCTTGGGGAGGGCAGGGCAGCAGGCAGCCAGGAGGAGCACAGGCCGGAGACCAGGACCCTAGCCAAGAAGCCAGCTCTGCTCTTTCAGCTCCCCGTGGGACCGGGGGAGGTCCTGAGGTGCCAGATTAATGCAGGATTTCCAAATATTTCCTTTTTCAGAACTAGAATTCTTATCAAATGCAATACTAGAAGAGCCCAATAGCTAGTAGATAAGGGGAGCTGCTGGTTGGGGGTGGCGGGTGCAGGGAGGGCTGGAGCCCCTCTATTCCCTCTTGTGGGCCCCACTGTCCCCCTCTCTACACTGCCCCCCCAGGCCCTCCTCCTACCCAAGGTTGTGCGTCCTCCGTCTGTCCGCTGAGCTCCGAGGCTCTTCCATTTCCAGCACTGTCCCCCCAGGCTTCGCACAAGCATCAAGGCCCGAAGAGGAGAAAACCAGATTCCAGACCCAGCTAAAAACAGGCATGGCAAGTCAAGGACCCGGGTCCCACGAGCTCATGCTGAGAACTTGGGAAGGAGACAAGGACTCACAAAGGTGGGCCAGAGGCTACCATCATTTTGCAGTGAGAATAATGTTTATTGAGAATGGCTCATTACAAACAAAATATATTTATGTATAAAATCTCTGCAGTGCAAAAGATCCCTTTTGTCCCCGAGTGGCTACAGTGAACAAAGCCAGCTGTCCAGTGTGGCTTTGGGAGGTGCAATGGTCCCCTAGCATGTGGATAGGGGGCCACAGATGCCACATGCTGTGGGCAGAAGTTCCTGATGTCCAGGCTCCTTCTCCGGCCCCACTTTCATGACTTGTACAAGAACACAACATAGTGTGGTTTGTGTTCTGCCTCCATGATCCTCCCCAGTCAGGTGGCACCGTCTCAGGGGCAGGTAGCTTTCTCATTCATCTTCTAGATAGGTGACCTCTAACTTGTGGCTTGTCCCTGGAAGCCATCCTCTGAGCCTGGGGACTGAGCATTTCTAAATGTTACATGGTGGGCTGAGGTGCGGTGACTACTCTCCACGGAGGCTGCTCTCTACGGCAGCCCCACCAGCATGTGCACCGTGTCTCACTCACATTCAGCCAGCCTGAAAGGTTCACTTCCTCTCATTGTTTTCCTTGATACATCTATTCTCACCACAATTTTACCCAGACCCCTCCTGAGGACGCCCAACCCCCACAGCTGCCACGTGTGGTACTCCTGAGTGTAGACCCAGAGCTCCCTGGGATCTTGGGCCTCCCAGCATTAAGGCAACAGAGATGAGACCAGTCTAAAGGCAATGCTAGTCTCTGAAACCAGGGTGGCTGCCCAGCTAACAGCGCCTCCCTCTTGGCCAAAGGCTGTACCTGGTGTCGAGGAGCAATACGACTGGGTGGTCTGATAGCCCTTCTAAAGCAGAGCCCACCTCTGCCCCTCAGAGCAGCCACAGTGTGGAGGGGCCAGCTGGCAGGTGGGGGCAGAAGCTGAGCGTGGTTTGCAGCCTGAAAGAGGGGCAGCTGCCACCACATCATGCCCTGGGCACTGGAAGACCAAGATGCAGGGGTACAGGTGTAGTATGGCTGTTGGGGCACCCCTGCCCTTTGCCAGAGGCAGCCCATGAGGGGTGGGTGTCCCCAGCCCCTTTGGGAGTGATCCATTTCCCTTATTTTTTAGGTGCAGACCTGGGTTCAAGACCCAGCTCCACCACTGTCCTGGGCAAACTTGCCCCAGACTGGGCAGATGCTGTCTGGAAGGTGAAGGGCCCTGGCACTCAGCCCGGGGGCCGTGAGTTCCTTCTCTTCGAAAGAGAACTTGGGCTGGCTTACCTGCCCCGTAAAGAGAGGTGTCTGTGGTTCCAAAGTACCTGCAATCTCACTATTATTGTCTTACTTGAAGGTGATTCTCACCTCCCAAAAGTTATAACGTAAATCTAGAAAGACAGACCAAAGGGAGGGAGGGAGGGAGGAAGAGCTCTAGTCTATGCTACGTGCCATGCTATGTGATCCTGGGCAGGCAGCACCCTTCTCTGTCGAGACAGAAGAGACCCAGCATTCTGTGCAAGAGGTCCTGGCATGAACATCAGGGTGGGTAGGAGGTCACAGGCTGCCCGTGCCATTGCTTCCCTAGTGCCCCAGCACACTCAGCCCTGTGAGACTCAGGGTCCCCACACTCGGAGGTTGGGCCCTGCTGTCGGGACTCAGGCTACTGTCAGGAGGCCTTGTGGGTGGGGGGGGATCTCTGGGGCTCAGGCAGCCGTTCTTGGCCCTTAGGGTCAGGTATTCCTGGAGCACACTCAGCACTGCCAGCCAGCAGGAGCCAGGGCCCCATTATTCCCCTGATGACCCTCCATCCTACGTGGCTAGGGTACCTGGAGGGCTGCTTTCTGCCTGAGGTCCAGCCCTCCCTAGGCCCCGGAGGCCTCACAACCAGCCACAGGAATGTGGGTCCACTGGGAGGCAGGAGGGGGTGGTGGCACCAAAGGGCATGGGGGCGCTGCAGTACTTCCAGGGTAGAAGGGTGAGGACAGCTCCAAGCGAGGCCTGGAGCAGTCCACAGCCCTGGGGGCCGGGATCAGATACACACACACAGATGCTGTCCTGACGAGCGGCGTCTCTCTCCAGGGCTCAGGCCCCAGGTCTGTGGGGAGACAGGCTTGGCTTCTCCCCTAACCCTGGCTGGCAGGCAACAAGGGCACCTGTAAGGCGGAATGTCCCCTGGGCACAGTTGGAGTCAGGCTCAGGGTCCTGGGGGAAGCTCTGCTCAGACGCTCCGGGGACACCTCCAGCAACCAGCAGGTGCCCAGGGTAAGTGGCATGATGACACACTCAGCACTGGCGGACAAAGCAGGCACGCCGCAGCCTCCTAGAGTTCCCCAGGGCTCTGTCACACGGGCCAAGGCTGCAGTTCCACATCTGAGCCCCAACAGCCCAGGGCCTGAGCCAGGGACTCCTGAGTGGGCCCAGCTGGGGCGGGGCAGGGTGGGATCTGAGGGCCTGGGCACACCAGGCTTCTGCTGTCAGCTGTCCAAGTAGACAAAGAGGATGTCCTCGTCTGTGCCGTAGCTGGTTCTGGCCTCCTCGAAGTTACTGATGCTGGTGCTGCACATTCCTGCTGGGGGCAGGAGGGGCAGAGCGGGGTTGGCAGGTGGAGGGAGCACCCCCTTCACTGGCACCCAGGGGAGCCAGGGGAGGTCTGACCGTGTCCCGCCCGCCAGGCCACCTCTTGCTGATCAAGTCTTCTACTTCCAGGAAGCCCTCCTTGCCTATTTCAACCTTCGTGAGCTCCTTCTCTGACCCCTCCCCAGGTTAGCAGATGGAGAAAGTGAGGCCCAGAGAGGGGAAGAAGCATGCTTGAGGCCACATGGGTAAGTCTGCTTGAGTCAGGGCAGTCCTTCCCTGTCCCCAGGGCAATGGGGAGCCCTAGATGGGTCTGGAGCAGGGGCTGGGGCTGGGCACTATCTCTTCTGACAAGCATGCTGGCTGTCCTGGGAGGGCCAGAGTGGGGGAGGGAGGAAACTGCAGCCTGTGCAGCATGAGGCTGAGGCGGGGCCCTGGGTAGTGGCATGGGGCTGGCGGTGTGGGAGGGAGATGGCCTGGCCTGGCCTGGCCTGGAGATGACTGGGATGTGGAGGCCAGCAGGGCCCCAGCTTTGTGACTGGTTTGCTGCACGACCAGAGGGGTGGCATGGATGACAGGAGCCCAGGAGGAGCAGGGGCTCTAGGGAGAAGGCAGTGAGTGAGGTCCACCACAGCAGGTTGAATGGGAAGGAGTCATGGGGGTGGGAATAAGGGACCGTGAACGCAGCCTGCCCCACCCACTGTCCCCACCTTCGACACTCACGGTCTGCGTAGGCTGGGTTGTTGTAGAAGATGCAGCCAGTGGCCCGGTTATAGCCACGCAGCACGATGAAGTGGCCCTGGTAGTCGGGGGTGCGGCAGAAGCAGCGGTGGCCACTGGGGGCAAAGCAGCAGTACTTGACGGGGCTGGAGCAGAGGTCGCAGTGCAGCACCCCCGAGTTCACCAGCACGATGGCCACGTGGCCCTGTGCCAGGTGCTCCTGGATGTCTTGCACGCTCACAGTGCTGTGGGTGGGAGGAGGGTCAGCTGGCGCCGCTGGCCCCATTCCCTACCTCTCAAGTGGACCCCTGCTGGGACCCATTCCGCTCTATGTCACAAAGCTTGGGGACATGGCTCGTCTTCTCTCCGCCCTGAGATCCTTGCAGGTGGAAACGTCCTGCTTTGTCACTGTGGCCCAGGCTCAGCACATGGCCAAGCACAGGACCAGGGGGGTGGCTCTGAGTGTGCCCAAGGATAAGCTGGCCCCGTCAGGCCCTTCCTGGGGTGGTAGGAGGTCCGCTCCGGATGGGGCCCTGTCAAGCGCCACTAGAGCAGCACATGGGACCCCACCTCCTGGCCTGATTAGTGAATTTTTTTTGCCAAGCATCCCTCCTTGGTCCTTTACCCTAAATCATGTGTGGTTTACACTGGAAACTGTCAGTTTATTTCCCAAAATCTGAGCCAAGCATGCCTTTGCCAGTTTCAAAACCAAATGCTTCTCTGAAAGGGCTATTTTTCTCTTTTTTTCTAAGGCTCCTCATGGCAGAGGGGGCTCCCCAAGAAAGGCTGGTCAGCAACACTTCTGGGGGACCCCCAGTTCAGCAGAGCCAGCCGCGCCCTGAGGCAGACTCTGAGGCACTGCCCCATTCGATGCCCCACAGAAGGCAGCCAATCCAAATAAGAACTCAGAAAGGGAGAAGGGCTGGGGTGGTGGGGGGCACCCTTGAGGCCGGGGCTCCACCATCTTTGCAGGAGGGGATGCTCACCCACTCGGGCCCTCCTTCCTTAGCAATCTCCTCAGGAGTGGCGGCATTAGCTACGTGGCCTGGCCCAACCCCAGTCCACAGCCGTGTCACATGGCAGTTTGGTTTGAGGCCTTGGCCGGGGAAACAGGCCATTTTTCCATTTGGTCTTTGAAACGAAATAGCTGGCTGAATTCCCAGTGGTATGTACAAGAGCGAGATTTCAGCCACAGGAAAAAAAAGCGGGGGCTGAGCTGGAAAGAAAAGCAGCAGGCTTCATGGAATAACCAGGTGTGGAAGTGCCAGGTTTGGATCACAGCATGGCAGAGTTGCTGGGGGTGAGCGTGGGTGGCTCACACCGTTTTCCCCATCCTCAGTTTCCTTACCTGATGAATGGGCACAGCACCAGCTTCCCACTCAAAGAGACAGCACCTGTCAAGTGCCACCACATAAACACATGCTGCCTTTCCTTTCAGCACGTACTCAGGTGGCCGAAGAACATGTGGAGACTTTTCCCGTTTTCCAAATTGCCTATCATGTGGCTACATTATGTTAAAAGTGAAAACAGAAATCTGTAAAGAACAGCGAGACCTGAGAAGAGTGGTCCAGGGGAGCCTGGCCAGGGTCTGAGCCAGCAAGCCTGAGCAGGGCACCAACAGTGAGCCCAGAGAAGACAGTCGCTCGTGTCTAGGCAAGTTACTCCCAGGGTCTGGCTGAATCCTGCCCCCACGTATAGAAGAGAAGGGGGAGATCCATGTAGGTTGATGGCAGCCCGTGGGGAGATCTGGGAGCCAGGCCTTCCTAGACAGCCTACACACTGGGCTGTCCTGTCAGCCTCCATCACCATGCTGGCATGTTCCTCAGGCTGTCACCCCTTCATTAGAGTTCCTGTGTTCTGTCCCATGCCACCAATCTGTGAGCAGCCCGAGGGCTGGCTGGAGTCTGTCTTGCTCACCTGTCCCTGCAGCCCCTGCTCAGGATCTATCCCAGCCCAGAGTTTTGTGTACAGTAGGTCAATAGCCCTACTTGTCCCCATTTTATTGATGGAAAAACTAAGGCTCAGTGGGGAGGCAAGTCAGTGCTACGGCCACCTGGGTAGCAAACCTGATTCTACCTGACCTCCAGGTCCCTAGACTTTCCTGTGTGCCATCCCGCAAGACTGCAGGTGAGCAGGCGAGCAAGGAAGGGCGAGGGGAGGCTCACCGTTTCTCTACCAGCACCTTGCAGGCTTTGGCTTGTGCGAACAGCTGGTTCACCCGGGTCTCCTCTGTGTCAAAGTGCTTCCTGTAGAAGGACTGAAAAGAGAAGAGCAGTTGGAGGGGTCACCCGTCCTGGCTGCCCTCACCCCACCTGGGTGAAGTAAAGAGCACATTAGAGAGTTAGAGATGGTGGGAGAGCAGAGGAGCCGGCCTGCCTGGGGAGACAGCACATGCAGCATGCCTAGGCAGAAAGCTGTGTCTGTCCCGAGCTGGCAGGGTGGCTGACTGGAGTGCACAGGACCACCCAGAGGCATGAGGAGGACACTTAGGAGATGGGTGGGCAGCCGGGCTCAGGTCGGCCCCCTCAGGAAGCTCAGTAACCCCTGGGCTTGTGCATCCCCGAGGGCATGAACAGGAGCCTGTAGTAAATGAGCAAAGGGGGGCTGAGCCCACTTGGACGCTCAGCTACCACCCGGCTTAGCCAGGTGAGGTCCATGGAACATACTTTGGTGCAGGGGCCTTAAGAGGGCCAGAGTCCCCGTAGGGGAGCAGAAGAGATCTTGTTTTGGGGACCTTTTCTCTGCCCCGAAGCCATGGTGACCAAGCCAGATTGTGAGCCTTCTTCCCCTGGCCCGGAAGGTTCAAAGGAGAGTTAGGTTGACCAGCACTGGCCACCAGGCAACAGCCCTCTTGCTAACGAGGCCAGTGGTGACTCTGCTCTGCCAAGTTTCAGAGCCTAGGCTGAGATCTGCCTCCAAGGCAGGCAAGACCGGCTCTAGCTGTACAGGGAAGGATAACGCGCTGGTGTATTGGGCAAGGCTATGTTGGCATTCCTTTTCAAAAAAAAAAAAAAAAAGAAGGAAAGACAGTATTTTGGTTTTTCTTCCAGAATACCAATTGACTTGGAGCTTGGAGCCAGCTGGCCCTGTGAGAAGGAAGAAAATGGGCAAATGATGCCTGGACAAGGTCAAAGTGCTCTGAGGCCCTGGGCCTTGCCTTGTCCTGAGGGATAGCAGGGAAGGACTCAGGAAGGCGGCCTGAGATGCTCCCCTGCACATCCTCAAGTGCTGTCGGAGGCAGGCAGCAGAGGGCTCTGGGGTGGGGGTGCCAGGAGGGCACCTTCCTGAGCTCACTGCTCAGATCCTCTGGGCAGGCCAGACCTCAAGGTCATCGGGTCTGACTGGCTCCCAAGTCCTGCCCATGGCAGGTCTGCCATTGCTCCCTGGTCTCTGCACACCTGTGTGTCTACTTGGGTCTCGACCGCACCCTCTTCCAACGACTGGACCTGGTGAAGGCTCGGCAGCCAGCCACTCACCTGGTTTTTGTAGCCCTTGTCGACGCCCAGGGTCTGGGTACAGAAGCGGTGCCTCACGCCAAAGTGGCGCATCAGATAGGCCAGGTCGATGGTCCAAATGCTCCTGGTCAGCCGCAGCTCCTGCAGGGCACTCTCGAACTCACTGTCGTCCAGCTGGCCCAGGTACCTGTGCAGACAGGCCACTGAGGTCGGCTTGCCCTCGAGGAGAAGCTGGTCCAGGTCACCCTCCCCCATGGGCCTATCAGCCACTATCAGAGCTCCCACTCCCCAGAAGTCTCCACCCTTTGGCATGAAACCCTATGTCCTGCCCACATACTGCCTGGACACAACCTGAGGCTGCCTGGGGTGCCATGCTGACCTCGGAGTTGAGGGCCTAGATTGTGCTTCTTGAGTCTCTTGCAGGCTGTGTGACTTTGGGCAAGTTGCCGCCCTCTCTGGCCTCATTAGCTTTGTTTCTAGGATGAGGTGCTTGGACCACGTCAGTGATTTTCTAAGTTCTAGGCACAGACACCTTTTGTTGAACCTTTTCTTGCCTGGAACTCCAAGATATAAAACAGGTAAGGGAGAGGCTTCTCTGGGGTTCCAGGCAGCCACCTAAAAACTCTCCTACAAGGACATGGCTATGGAGGCCTATGAAGGACAGAGCCCTTCAGGCTCTGATGGTCAAGGTTCCTGTGATGTTCACACAGCCTCAGCTTAGCAGTCAACTCCCCAGTGACCCAGTCTCCCAGGAGCCCGAGGCTGGAAGGGTGGAGGGCCCTCTGTCCCATCATGGGGTGACTCTGTGGGCCAGGCCTAGGCACCTGGAACTTCCCTGACCATCCCCAGAGCCCTCAGGCATTTCCAGAGTGGAGACCTGGAAGGCCTGGTCCACTTCTTGCTTTTGCAGATGGGACTAAGCCTGGTTGGAAGCTGAACTTCCCACAAGCCCCAACAAAGGACAGCCACATGGATGATGAATCCCACCCAGGTCTCTCCCTCCATCTTCCCCAACCCAGAGAAGGTGGTGTGGATGGGGAGGGCCTCGGCCTGCCCACTCACCGCAGCACCATCCTGGAGCAGGCCAGGCCACAGTCCCAGTGGTAGAGCTGCTGGATGATGGGCACGGGCAGCTGCACAAAATCCCCTGCATGGAAACACAGGGAGGTTACAGACCCTTGGCATAGTGCCCACCACTGCTGCCCCCATTGGAGCCACCGTCTTTGGCTCCTGCCCAGATCTTACAGGGGTTGTTCAGGGGCCAGCCCACAGCCTTTCAGGCCCCCCGACCCTTTCTCCTTACAATAGCAGTGATCTCCCAAAACACCAGTCGGAACAGCTCAGCCTGACTCAAAATCCTCCAATGGGTTGGTTCCCATATCTCTTAGGACAATGCCTTCAAGGCTGCTGCCCCAGTGCCCTCTGCTTCCTCACCTCCCCTCATCCTCAACAGGTCGCCCTCCAGGCAGACCTTCAGCTGCTGTGATCCCCTATGCCTCTGGGCCTTTGCATACCTACTCCCTCTGCCTGGACTCTCTTGGCATCACAGGTGCCTGAGCTAACTCCTGTCTTCGGACATCACTTCTCCACGACGCTGCCCGTCATGCTCAGCCCCCCACTCTGTGCACTCTCAGAGCAGTGGGAGCTCCAGGGAGGCAGAGATAGGGCCAGCACATGAGAGGCACTCAGCAGATATTCATGTCTGAATTCACGAGGCCTCTGGAGGTTTGCCTGACTCCAAAGTCCCCTGGGCCAACAATGCGTGAAGACCATAGTTAGGAGGAAGGGACTGTAAGGTGATCAGTGTATGTGGAAAGCTATCCTCGGCAACCGCTCAGTCTGTCCTTGCCAAGCAGTGAGGCGGAGCAGAATTGGCCGGACCTAGGCATTCTAGCCCTGGCTCTGTCACTGGCTGGCTGTGGGCTGAGTAGCTGACTTCCTCCTGCTGGTCTGGGTCTGGCCATCTCTAAAGTGGGGGACTTTGGTCTGATTCAGCCATTCGATCAACAAATATTTCCCAAGAGCCTGGCACATAACTGGAGATACAGTGGTGAGAGACACAGACAGGGCCCTGTCCCGGTGGACAGCAAAAACAGGCAAGTATAAGAGAAAAACAGGGGGCTAGGCTAGGGAAAAGGGTGAGGTGTGCCTTAGAGAGGCAATGCTCAAAGTCTCCTCCTCTGAGAGGCTTTTGCTGACTATGCCTTTGCTGTAGGGGGGCCCTCCTTCACAGCATCCTGTTTGTTTCCTTCACAGTACTTAATAAAAGTAACAACAACAAAAAAGTAAAGCTACTTTGTCTCCCCACTAGACTATAAGCTTCCTGAGGGCAGAGAATTTGCTAATCTTGTTCACTGTTATTTCCAGTGCCTAGTGTCTAATGCTTAGTAGTAACTCAATAAACATTTGTTGGAAGAAATGAACTTATTAAACACCCACTGTGTGCTAGCCTCTGGGGACACTAAAGGTGACCAAGACCCAAGCCCTGTCCTCCAGGGATTCATATTCTAAAATAATTCCCCCCAATGAGCTGAGTGGAAGGAGAGCTCTAAGTAGGGTGCTGTTCCCTCATGGTGGGATACCTCCCTTATCAAGAACCCCTCACTGTGGCCATAAACTGCCCTTTTTGTTTTTCTCTACACAGGCTGTTTACTCCTCAGCCTTTGCTCTTGCATATCCCTTAGTCAGACTGTTATCTCCCATCTCTGAATGTCCAAATGCTCTGGTTTCTTTCCCTCTCTGAGCCCTTCAATATGGAGTATTTGAGGTGGTGTCTGCCTTCCCCACCAGACAGGCCAAGAATTCCTCAGTGACAGGCAGGGACAGGGTTGCATTTGTCTCTTCCCAGCCCTAGGCCCAGTGCAGGCATTCATACATGCTCGGTGATTGGAAGGCGTTTTTCCAAAAAGGCTTATCCCTTGAGATGTCTACTTGTCACCGCAATGCTCCCCCACCCAGGCTTCCAGACTATGGACCTCTGTTCACAGCTCCCTTACTTTGTGGCCTGGGCTCTCACATCAGCTAGCTGGGCCATCTTTGGCCAGGCTTTGACTCTGTCTGTGCCTTCTCCTATGCCTAGCTGTAAATGTGGCATAGGACAGCTCTCTGTAGGGCCCTCAGGAACTCCACTGCCCCATCTCTTCTTGCCCCAATCCCTAAAACCCCTTGATCCTGAGACCTGGCAGGGCTAAACATCCCCACCTGACCATCCCAGTCTTGGCAGGGGCAGGTCAGCCCAATGGGACTCAGAGATACTCCTGTGGGGAGTGATAAGGGTAGGTGAGGCCTTCCAAGCCCAAAGCTGCTGCCAGTTGTTGATGCTTGGAGCCAAGGGACTGTCTCACCTGAGAGCTAGGGTCTGCCTGGAAGGCCCTGGCCTGGCTTCAGTTGGCAGGTGTCGCCAAGGAAGGAAGGCAGCTCACTGGCCCTGGATACTTAACCCCTCAGCCTCAGTCTGCTCATCTGCAAAAGCGCAAATAACGATGGTAACCTACTTCATGGGGTCGTTATGGGGATTAACGAGGCACTGCATGTAAACAATTTAGCACAGTGCCTGCCCATAGAAAGCTCCCCACGAATGTGAGCCATTACTCCACGGAGGCTCAGGAAAGGCAAGCGCCTGGTCCAAGATCACAGAGTTGGAGGAGTAGGGATGCAAATCCCAGGACAGCATCAGACCCTACTCCTTGTTGTAATCACAAAAGAGACCACTCCCTAGGTGGGACACCGTGGTCCCACTGATGCCTTAGGCTGGGGCTGGGCATGCTCTTGACCTCTCCCACGAGCTGGTACCTCACTTTAGAGTTTACTAGCTTTAGAGTTTACTTTCTCTTTCTCATCAACCCTACACCTCGCCCCGAGCAGGAATCACTACTTCCTCCCTCCCCCACTTAGAGAAGCAAACTGTGGCCCACGCACTGGATGTCAGTCTTGGTTTCCGCCCTAAAGGAACTCAGACCACCTTGGGGCAGAAGGAACCAGAGGATGAGGACTGTAGCAAGACTAAAGGCTAAGCCGGGGAGGCCAGGGGAAGGGGCCCTCCCACTGCTCTGTGTTCTCGGCCAGCTCCCTGCCCTTCTAGGCGTCAGTTCTCCCACAGTTCCCCTAGGGGACAGGATTTACCTGCGGCTCCAGCAGGACTTTTCGCTTCGGGGAAGGTGGCGCCCCTGCCTCACAATCAGGACCCTCCCATCACGACCGCTATCAGAACTACTGGGGTCCCAACCCTGGGAGTAACAGGAAACACCAACTGATGGCAGCTGGGGAGAGTGGGGGCCCAGGCGGGAGCGTACACCTGGCCAGGTTTCACTCAAGGCTCTACAGCCTGAGGCGGCGGTCAGCCCAAGGTCGCGCAGCCAGACCCTGCCCCGAGCTAGGGCGGGGTCCCCTCGTTCCCCGGGGTGAGGGGTGGGCCCTCGGGGAAGCACTGACCGGACTCGAGCGGCGCCCCCGCTGCCTCCGCCTCCGTCCTCATGACCCGGGCGGCGCGGGGCGCCCATGGCCCCGGCCCGGCGCCGGCTGCAGCTTCGCCTTTGGCTGGGGCGCGAGCGGGGCCGGCGCGTGTCGTGCTCCTCTGCCGCCACTGCCACCGCGGTGGGGAGAAGGGGAGGGGGCAGCTGTGCCGCCCCAAGCCCCGCCCCGGCCCTTCCAGGCCTGGGATCCGGGGGCCCGCCCCTTCATTAAGCCCCTCCCCTCCCCTCTCCCCGAGTCCTGTTCTTAGAGGCCCCCAAGCCTCCTGCTCTAAGCCCGCCCCCGCCTTTCGCTGTCTCGGCTGCTGGTGGCCCCGCCCCTTTCCCAGCCCTCGCGCAGACGCGCAGGCCCTTCTCCGCCTCCGTTCCCCGGAAGCCCCGCCCCTTTCCTGAGCCCCGCCCCTAACCCCAGCGTTCCAGGAACATTGGCTCCACAGAGGCTCTTCCCTTAGCAAGCTCCGTGTCTGCCCAGCCCCAGCCTCAGGTCTAAGGCCTGGTCCTGCCCCATACACCGCGGGCCTCGGGAGACCACGACCCTGGGCCCGCCCCCGCTCTACTCTATACCTGTTTCCCTATCCGTACGGTGAGATAGCTCGCCTCAATCAGGACGCCCCTTACCTGGAGGTGCCGGGTTCCAAAGATTAAATTGTGAGGGGAGGTCTTGGACCCTCGGCTCCACTGCCTGCCGCCCCCGATCCAAGGGCCCACGCCCCAGATCCCCGCCTAGCGGTCCAGTCCGTCCCTGGTCTGGGGTGCTAGGAAGCGCGAGTCGTCCTCTCCCCTTGCCGCCCCGGGGGTCGGTGTTTCCGGCAGTACCTGGGCCCGGTCATCAGCCGTCCATTCCGGGGCCGGAACTATCATACTAGAGCGCACGTTTCCCAGCCGGCGGAGTGAGGAGGAAGAAGAGACGAGACCGCGGTCACCGCTAGGAAAAGGAAAGGGGCGGGTCCTGCGCGAGGCATTTTGGGAACGCGTGGTATTGTGGGAGCGCGGGCCCCGCCATTAGTTCCCCACACGCTTACGCATTCGCCAGAGTCCCTGCCGCCCCAGAAAGGAAGAGGAGGCCGGAGCCGGTGAGGAGAGGCCGGGGGCGGGCGAGGGTAGGCCGAGGCACCCGTGAGGGCCCGGGGGCTGGGGAAGGAGGCGCTGCCGACGAGCTCTGCAGGGCTCGAGGAGGGAGAAGAGCGGAGAAGGCTGGGCCACCCGAGCATCAGCGGTGCCTCCCTAGCGCCTGGAAGTGAGTTCATTAGCTTTTCCCCAGAGTACATGCTCTTCGCCTTCTATACCTCTCCAAGTCAGTGTTTTTCGAAGCATCCAGGCAGTAGTCTTGAAATCATTCCTGGCTGGTTGCCTCCTTCCCCAAATCCTACCTGGGTAATCTTTTTCAAAGTTCTTTGCATCTCTGCCTCTATGCCCCTTTCAGGCGCTGGTCCTCTCCTGCTTTCCACGCTGTTACAGAAGTTCTATCAAGTTTCCCTGCTTCTAAACCGTGTTCGATCCATTTTGTTGTAAGTGCTGCTCCCTTTTCATTTGATCATTCCTTACCTATAATCCTGCAGTGATTCCCCGCTGCCTTCAAGTATAAAATCTAGACTCCTAAGGCTCCTCACCAAGGGAACTTGTCTTTCCCAACCTCATGTTCCCTTTCCTGTCTTGACCACACATAATATGTCCCAATCTTCAGTCGTTGCTCACCTTGGAATAAAAAGTCCACTGCTTGTCTCTTCTGTGACATCAAGTCAGTCACTTACCCTGATTATATTTTTCCTCCCTGGATTTCCTGCACATTGTCGCTTTGTGAGCACTTTGTATTTTCTCTTTAGCCTTGATGGTGAAGTAAGTGGAGGGTCATGGGCACTTAATGGGTTGAATTGAATGCACAGCCTCTTCTACCAGATTTGCCTGGATCCTTTGGTCTGTATTCTGAATTGCCCGATACTGTACACATGTGCCCAATACTACTACCCACATGTAAGTGGTGTTAACCACAACTATGGGTTGACAGATACCTTGTTTGCACGTTCATTCCAACCCCCTTTCCCCCAACACACAGTATGGTTAATGGTTATTTGATGAAGATAAAGGGGCATATGGTAGCAGGGAGGGAGATGGAAAGTACTTTCTTTTCATTCCCAGGCCCCCTCTTTCCCCCTACCCCACATCTTACATGTGTTTGCCAGATAGGGTCCTCAAGCTAGGAGTTAAGCTCTATTTTTTTTTTTTTTTTTTGGTGAGGAACATTGGCCCTGAGCTCATATCTGTTGCCAATCTTCCTCTTTTTGCTGAGGAAGATTGGCCCTAAGCTAACATCTCTGCCACTCTTTTTCTATTTTGTATGTGGGACGCTGCCACAGCATGGCTTGATGAGTGCTGCATAGGTCCGCACCTGGGATCCGAACCTGTGAACCCCGGGCCGCCTAAGCAGAGCATGCAAACTTAACCACTAGGCCACTGGGCTGGCCCCTTAAGCTCCTTTTTTCTATAGAAAGTGCAGCTTTGGCATTTTTACTAAGTTTTATGGAGTGTCAGGCCTTGAGGGAGGCATGGTGTGTGCCACATGCCTTCTCAGGCTCTGAAAGATGGACTAACTGTTGTCTGTTTCACTGTAGAACTCTCTTCCTGCCAAGATGTCTATTGGTGTGCCCATTAAAGTCCTTCACGAGGCTGAGGGTCACATTGTGACATGTGAGACAAATACCGGTGAGGTGTATCGTGGGAAGCTCATTGAAGCGGAGGACAACATGAACTGCCAGGTATCTTGCTTTGCACATGAGGCTGGGGGGAAGCTTGGGCCTCTGTCTTGGACAGAAAGATGGTGATTGGAGGTCTTTTTGAAGTTGCTGTCATTCCTCACTTATTTATTGAGTGCCTGATGTGTGTTAGGAACTGTTATAGTTGCTGGGCATTTGGGCATAAATAAGAGCCATTGGGAATATTTAACTTTGTGCTTTGTTTTCTCCATCCCATAATCATTTTCTTCCATATTTTGGAGACCTGTTTAGGAAACATAGCTCTACTACCTTCAGTAGAATCCGTCAGGATCAGGGCCATTATCCATTTGCCCCTACACGTTTGCGTAATGCTTGGTGCTAAGCAGAATCTTACACTCACATGGTATGTTTGCCATTTTTCTTGGAGGAGGCATCTTGTTTGATTATAGCAACTACCTTGTGAGGTAAGCAGAATTGGTGATAGGTTTGTCATCCGTATAGTAGGGAGAATAAGATTAATAGACTCATCTACTGAATGTCAATCTGCTAATAAATGTTGGGGCAGCTTCCTGATACAGTGCCCTTCCCGTGGCATGATTTTGTTTGCCTTTTGCTAATAATCATGTGAGTTTGTATAACATTGCTTTACAAAGTGTATCAGCACACTTTCTCTCTTGTTCTTTAAACCATCACATGTGGGTTTAAATCCTAATTGTCTAACCTTAGGCATGTTAATCACCTCAGTTACCTTATCCGTAAAATGGGAATGGTGTTATTTTGAGTTGTCTGAGATGTAGATGCCAAGACAAAATTAGTTGTGCAAGAGACTTATTGGAGGAACTGACAATAAAGGAGAAGGAGTAGGGGTAGGCAGGAGAGTTTTCAGTCTAGGATACTGGTCTGACATTCGTGAAAGGAGAGGGGAAAGGAAGGAGGATTGAGTAGGAAGAGCCTGAGACTGCAGTGTATCTCTGAGGAAGTCTTGGCCAGGCAAAGATTGCTCATTAGAAGAGTCTAGCATGGGGCAGAAGTGGTCTGGCTCTGGTTCCCCCACTGTGGTCAGTCATTGGCTGGCAGCCTAGGGAGAAAGTGGCCTCAGGTTGAATGCTGTAGTGGATCCCACAGGTGGCGGCTGGAAGCTGTTAGCTCCCTGCATTCCTAATAGCCTTTGTCCCCCGAAGGGAGATCTGAGCAGTGCACTCCCAAGTCCACCACAGGGGTGAACCTACACCCCAGGGCTGTTCCCAAGATCAGATGAGTTATGTGTGTGCAGCAGCTAGCTCAGCACCTTGCACATCATAAATGTCAACATATGGTACCTGTTAATATTTTCCAGTTCTCAGAGAGGTAAAGTGACTTACCTAAGGTCACACTGCAGATCAGCTGTCCTAACTATCCATTCTTGTCAGGGCTCATTCATTTATTTGTGATTTCTCTGTAGCTTGAGGCATCATCTTCCTGCCAGGTTGACCAGCTGGGACATTTCCCTGGCATTTGGGAAGATAGACATCTGGTGACTGCAGATTTCTCTCCTTGGTGTTGATGCCGTAAAGATGTGTGGTGTGGGATCTCCAAAGGTCCTGTGGGGCCTGGCTTCCTTTGCCTTTGTGAGGTACCACCATCATAGATCCAGTCCTCTGGCTTAAGGCATCCTTATTTGTTTTAGGGTACTTTAGTTTGGTGAGCAGAATGCAAGACTGAGGGTAGGAAATCTTAATATGTTTATTCAGCTATTTGGACAACTTTTGAGCTTCCAGGGCCTCAGACTTCCCATCTGTAATGTGAGGAGGGTGTCTAACCAGATAACGTTGGTGGTCTCTCACATGTAGCCAGTGTGATGTAAAGCACACACAGCCTGGTGACAGACAAATCTGGAATCAGGTTGCAGCCTGCCACCTAGTGTGACTTGGGACGAGCTTTCGACCTCCCTCACCCTCTGTCCTCTCCTTTCTAAATTGGGTAAAAATAGCACCTCAGCCTCAGGACGATGGTGCAGAATAAATGAGTAGATGTTTGTCACATGGTGGGGGCCAGCCACCTGCCTCCCACCTGTATTAATCTGTTAGGGCTGCCATAACAAAGTTCCACACTGGTGGCTTAAACAGCAGAAATTTATTCTCCGAGTTCTGGAGGCTAGAAGGCCAAGATCAAGGTGTCACAGGGTTGTTTCTTCTGAGGGTTGTGAATGAAGGATCTGTTCCAGACCTCTCTCCTTGGCTTATAGATGGCCATCTTCTTCCTGTGTCTTCACAGGGTCTCTCCTCTGTGTGTCTGTATCCTAATCTTTTTTTTTTGCCACAGAATAAAGATCTAACTAAAAGTTGCGTGTAATCTCCACCCTTAAATATTCGGGAGGCCAGCTTTATTTTTCAGCACTCCCAACACACAGAATCCTATTTACACTCTGCCTTAACTGACACCTTATTTCAGTGTCCTAATCTCTTCTAAGGAAACAAGTCATGTTGGATTAGGGCCCAGTTATCTCTATAAAGATCCAGTCTTTAAATATGACCACGTTCTGAGGTATTGGGGGGTTACGACTTCAACATATGAATTCTTGAGGGGAAGGGGGGCTACACAGTTCAGCCCAAAACACTGCCTGTGCCAAGATGTGAGGCTTGGCTGGGTCTGCCTAAACCTGGCAGGCACATTGAATAAACCCAGCAGGCTGTGGCCAGCTGAGCCCGGCGGCAGTGAACATTGAGCACAGCTCACTCCCGTCCTTTGGTCCCCGCTGCTCTCCGTCTTTTCTGGCCCATTAGTAGCTTCGGGGATGAGAGCAGCCTCTTAGTACTTTCGCAGCTTGTTCTGTGCTAGAAGGCAGCTGGAGTTTAGTGTTTGCCATTTCATGTTGGGGTGTTTTTTTTTTTTAAGGATTTTATTTATTTATCTTTTTTCCCCCCAAAGCCCCAGTAGACAGTTGTATGTCATAGCTGCACATCCTTCTAGTTGCTGTATGTGGGACACGGCCTCAGCATGGCCGGAGAAGCAGTGCGTCGGTGCGCGCCTGGGATCTGAACCCAGGCCGCCAGCAGCGGAGGGTGCGCACTTAACCGCTAAGCCACGGGGCCGGCCCCGGGTGTTGGGTTTTAATAACATTTTCTAATATAAAAGTAGGATTGATCACACACTGCAAAGATTTGGAAAACAGATGAGAGAATCCTACCAGAGTCACGATTGGCATGGACTTTTTCCCCTAGGAATATATTTTGAGGTTTTAGTATTTTTTATTCTATCTTCTTTCAAAAAGAGGTACAGGTGGCTTATAAGATATCATATGGTAGGATGGAAATAGATAGGTCAAGGTGCAGGTCAAGGTGCAGGTCAGCTGGGGAGACAGTAAAATGAAGCCAGGCAGTCAGTACCCAGAAATGTAAACCTGAGTCCCTGTGCATTTGATAGAGGTACGTTTGGGTGTAAGCTCAGAACGTTCCATTCTAAGTTTCCTAGAGGCCAGACAGAAGGAAATCATCAGTTCTGAGGTGTAGAGTGTCCTTAAGATAAAATACCAGTTGTGCAGTTTTCCTTGACACTCGGATATGAGAGACATTTTTTCCTGGGCCCTGATGAAGGAGATATTGTCTCATATTAGATAATGTCCTCAACAACATCCGTGTACACCTTCTTTTTGGGTTCCTTGGGTGTTTTTAATGTAGCCTGTTTTGCCCTCTTTTGACATTTGAAAATGTAATGTATGCTTGCGTTAAACCAAGGATGGGGTCCCTGAGATGGTGTTTATTGGGTCAGAGGGTGCAGGTGCTTCTGTGCATCTGAGGTTTTGCTGGGAAGGCTGGGAGCCTTGCTCTCCCACTCCCTGCACCCCGTGGATGCGAGGCAAGCCTGGTCTGCAGGTGGCCAGTGCCACAGGATGTGGCATCAGCTACAGATGATGGTGCCCCACACGTGGTGCTATGAGCATCTCCTGAGCTGAGCAAGGCCACTAGGGCTCGCCACATGATCCTCTGCAATAGATTTTCGTTTGTAGCAGAGATGGGAACGATGGAGGAGTATATTCCATCTCTTGCCCAGCTTTGGTATGGATGATTTAGAACCAGAAGCCCCCAAATGGGGAAATTTCTGTTCTTGGTTATGTGTATGCACCACAGGCTTGAAGCATCTTGTCTTTATTAATTGTCAAGGAGGGAACTAAGGGATTTTTCTTTAAGATCATAAAAAACAATATTTCTTAAGAAAGAATCCTCTAGTCAGATATTTGGTAAAATATTAAAAACCATAAAAGGAGCTTTAAGGTGAGGGATAATGAGTAGAAATAAGCAAATCATTTTGATTTTACAAACTAGACTATATTTATTTAACCTTTGGGGGAAATTTTTATTTGGCTGTGGATTTTATTAGGTGTCCAGGGTGAAGGGTCCCCAGAGGTTCCTTCTTAGATTCTTAGTGAATGCCAGAAGTGTTCTCCTGGCCCAGCTGTACGCAGTATTCAGACACTTAGGACATCTCGTGATTTTTTTTTACAATGAAAGTTTATTGTATTTAATATATAATCATATTTACAAGTGAAGAATGTTAATTTCCCAATTAAAAGTGGACACAAATCATAAAATGGATATATCATAAAAGAAAAATATATAAATAGACATTTTACATACAAAATAATAGCCTTATTAATAATCAGACATGCAAATTAGAAAACAGCAAGAATGTCTAGGCCGGCCCCATGGCTTGGTGGTTAAGTGCGCGCGCTCCGATGCTGGTGGCCTGGGTTCGGATCCCGGGCGTGCACCGAGACACCACTTCTCCGTCCATCCTGAGGCCGAGTCCCACATACAGCAACTAGAAGGATGTGCAGCTATGACATACAACTGTCTACTGGGGCTTTGGGGG